GACCAGAGGGCCATGGGGGAGCAAGAACCTAGTAAAGCCAACATCAAAGTGCCATTCCATCATTCACTTGTATCCCTTTGCAGAAAGTCACTGCTTTGGTTCTTATTCTTCACTGACAAAATGAGTATCTACTCACTCCCCTGTCTAGGTTCTTGGAAAGAATCGCACAAATGCTTTAAACCCTCCAACCTTATTGTCATCAGTATGTCATGTTGGGAAATCAGCAATTAAATCTATCATTTTGTAAAAACATACTTCCAGATTTCAGTCCTCCTATCACTGGAACTACCATCAGACTGTCTCCTTTCTTTTTTCTCTCCAGAACCCTCCTCCAGGAAATTTCAGAGAGCTTTTCTTCACATACTTTCTTGTATGTCCATGGGGCTCTCTCAAAATCTCTTTCAGGGGCTTCCCAGAAAGCCTCCGCCCCTCAGCAGCACCCCTTCCTTTTTTTTTTTTTTTCAATAAGCTGAGCACTGGGCCCTCGTCACTACACAGATTGTCCTGTTACCCCTGTGGCATGGGGGAAGCTTGAGGGAAGAGGAGGGAAGAGTAGGGAAGAGCAGGGGGTATTTTTTGTGGTTAGACATGAGAGCATGACGTAATTGAGAGACCTCTGGTAAACACGACTCGGCAGTAACAAGCGGGAGAGTTGTTTAAATTGTGTGCATGGCATCAAAAATAAAATGTCAAATTTAACATGTAAGTCTCATTTTCCTACTGGTTCATATCCACCCTGGTTCACATTTGAAATATCATTGGCTGAGAACTAGAGCAAAATAACAATGCTTGCTCATCAACAACACGTTTAAGATAAACGTTCATGCCTCCTGTGTGGTTTTCTGAATGTCTGATAATATTCTCATATGGGTATCCATGAAGTCAAAGCCTTTGTGTGAAGCAAGAGCTTCTCAAAGTGCTCACCTAAGTATCCCATCCTAAGAGGAGAGAGATGGAATCAAAGCATGTGAGGCTGGACCCTGACAAAACCTGCTAAAAATCTGTTTCTTTTGAAGCCTTGTTTTATCTGAGGGAGGAAATATGGATGGATATTGTATTTTATGGCATAACATACTTAGGTTTATTTTATGAGCAAAATGTCTTCAGATGTTCTACCCCCATATTCTAGAGATATTGCAAGAACAGTGTACAACATGAAAATGTAGATATGAATATGTAACCCTAATGAAACCATGCCACACGTGGTTCAGTCCCAGGGCCACAGCACATTTAACAAAATACAGTTTAAAATCACACACAAGAACAAGAACAAGAACAAGACAAAACTAGAACAAAACTAAAGAGAAACTCTGTTCTTTACCTGTTTTTCCTGAAGGATGTGAAAAGGAATCCAATTCATATCCCCACCGGAAGCATTTCTTACGTTTCGTTTTCTTTCCTCTGCACATCCCCTCCACTGCCACAAAAATGTTCCCTCTCCATCCATATTGCACACAGCTTTTATGAGCTCTCCTTCTGAATTCCTTCTTTCTCAACTCTATTGTGTGTGTGTCTACTTAGCTGTTCGAGCACAGAACTTCTCCTCATCGTCTTTTCTGTCCAGTCTTTGAATCCAGGAACAGGCAAAGACAAAATGAGGGTTGGGGGTTAAGATGACGGAGAGAGGAAGATTGGACCAACAATGACAGCATTCTCATTGGTGGGCAAAAGAAGAAAGACATCTCTAAAGATTCCCATGTTAATAATTTGTATCCAATCACATATGGATATGAAAATGTTTTGTTCCATATTCTGTACTGATTACAGATCAAGGTGTCATTTTGTTCACATATTACTGGATGGATAATTAGATATTGTACCTATAACTGGCAATCATTAGTACCATCCTTATTTACAAATATGTCCCGTGAGTGTTTTAATAGTAATAGGACATAATAACCCAAAATGGTGCTTTTTAAATTATAAGTGTAATATTTAAAGAAGAGGCTTTGGAGTCCGTGCAGAATTTTAAATGCCTATTCTGTTTCTCTGGTGACACGCTTTGTGGAAAATCAGGAAATAACTGAGACAAATATTTCTCTTGACATCACCATCATTGTGTGAGCCCATGTGCTTCTGAAATGACAAAGATCGGTTGGCCTCTCACTGTGTCACTGAAGGAAACTCAAGATCTTTGTGCTGAATAAGTGAAACTTTCAAAATGGACATGATGAAAATCAAGCATTGGATCTGACTTCACAATCTTTTTAGTTAAGTGTGAACTGTGAACAGACTGTATCTTATTACCCAAGCAGATGGAACAGTATCGTTGCTATTTTCTTAACCAGTTCAAACATTAATTACTGTGTGTACCTTTTCATGGGTGTCGTGTTATACAAAGTATTTGTGACTAGATTAAGGCAACCAAAGTAGACTTTTCAATTAGTAGTGTTTGTTTCACAGGTGTGTATATCGGGTACCTTCTATACAAAAGACTTCAAGGTAGGTGCTGGTGGGGAGGGGGGAATCATAGAAAGACGTCAGGCAAAACACTAGCCTTTAGTGATCCTAAAACTCTATGGAGCTAATAAAACATTCCCACAAATAATTATACTACTGAGTGGAAAGTGTGAAGCACCTTCAGAGAGGTTTAGAAATGTTCAGAGACTCTTAAGAAGAGTGAGAGGGGGCAGTGGCTGACTCAGTTGCAAGAGTGTGAGACTCTTGATCTGGGGATTGTGAGTTCATACCCCATGTTGGGGGTAGAGATTACTGAAAAAAATTAAGTTAAAAAAAGAGAGAGGGATGCCTTAGAGATGGAAGAGTCAAAGAAACCTTCTGGAAGAGGAGGCAGCTGACTGGGCATTGATGGATGGGTCGTATTTGGATGTATAGAAACTTAAAAGAAGGACGTTTCAAAAGAAGGGAATCTTAAAAGCAGGAAGAGTTGAGGTGTGGGATGGTAACACCAGTTACTAGATTATGCTAGAGGAAAAGGGGGCCATTGAACATGCGGTTGAAAAGATCATTTGGGTCTTCTTAACATAGTTGGGGAGCTTATAGTTATTCTAAAAGAGGTAAGGACTCATAAGCAGAGATGCCACATGGGAAAGGCAGGCTGGGCAGGGAGACAGCAGGCAGGGAAGGATGTTAAATTCTGGGAATAGTGAGTTTGCTGTGGCCGGGGTGTACATGGAATGAGAGGGGCTGTGAGGCAAGCCTTGAAAGGAAGTTGCAGACAAATTCCAAGGGGAATTATATGCCAAGGTAAGGCATTTGGCATTTATCCTATAAAGACACAAGGAACCAACACAGGGTTTGTGGAGAGGGTGCTATGGGCAGAATGGAGTATAGGCTAGCAGGGTTGGCAGATTTTTTCTATAAATGGCCTGATTATAAATATTTTAGGTGTTGTGGAGCACATATTCTTTTTTTTCCCCTTTTTTTTCCTTTTCTCTTTCTTAAATTCTTTTTTTCTTTACATTCTTTTCTTTCTTTACTTTCTTTCTTTTTTACTTTCCTTCCTTCCTTCCTTCCTTCCTTCCTTCCTTCCTTCCTTCCTTCCTTCCTTTCTTTTCTTTTAATAATATTTTAAAAATATAAAACCATTCTTTGCTCCTCTGGACATACAGAAACAAACCTTGGGCCCCTTCTGCCCCCTGCTATGAGAAGTGACAGGTGAACTTGGGCACAGCTGTCATGCAGAGAGCAGAAGGGGGCCTGATCTGAGGCAGTGGTAATAGAGGCAGTGGTGAGGAGGTACAAGGGGAGATGTATGAAATGCAATTAATTTCTCACACCAATTGTTTGGCTATGGAAGAAATTAGGAAGAAAAGGACAAATCAGGTGTGATTCTGAGGCTTCTCACTTGAGATACTGTATGGTGCTGGTGTTATGTAAAACCAAGGCTATGGAGGAGTTTTCAGAGAAGGTGGATTCAGTTTTGAAGCTGTGGAGGCTGATGTATCCATGGGTCATCCAGGGAAAGGGTGCCTGGGGACAGTTGGCCTTATGGGACCAATGGTCAGTTCCCTGGCATCCAGAATGTGTGCCTCTGGCCACAGAATGTGTGCCTCTGTGTAACAGATTTGAAAATATGGAGTGTCACACAAGACTAGAACAGGGAAGAGCATGTCCTTAGGAGCCCCAGATAGGCAGCAGGATTTGGGATGAGCTGGAGAGGGGCTAGTCTGATTGGGAAGAGCGGGTAGCATGCCCTTCCAGTAATCTAGGGGAGCAGAAGTGGTGTCTCAGATTGAGTAGTGGCAGTAAAAGAGAAAGAAGTTGATGGATGGGGCAGAATCACGAGGACCTGGCTTGTGTGCTGTGCACACGGCAGAAGAAGGGGCCTTCTGTAGTCATTGTCCCCGAGTTCCAGTGTCACAGGATGACACTACCTCTGTCTTGTTCTTTTTCTGGTTCTTGTTTCAGAAACCTAGCTAAGCGATTGAAATACTCAGAGCATGGAATCTGACTGCTTTTGTCACTTCAGTTCCCGCACACACCCTGTTTTACCGAACAGTGGAGGATAGCCAGGTCCCACCTGCAAAATCCTTTGCATATTCTTATTCTCCATTAACAGTAAGAGGAAATGCAGGAAAAAAAAAAACAACAGTAGAGTGCTTGGGGAAAGAATTGGAAAAAGATTCAAGGTTTTGGAATTATGGTATTTCATAACCAGGGCCTATAAAATTGCCTATAAGATAAGGGTAAGGTCTCAATCAAGGTAAACTTGCATGTCACCAGCCTCCCTGTAATTCATTACGTTGGATCCAAACAGTCGCTTGTGGTCTTATTTTAGCAGGTCTTCCTTAAAAGTATAAGTGCCACTGAGATATAGTAACTCTGTACACCTGGCTTCCCAGTGTATTAAGCTTCTGTGTTCAAATACATATATAACCACCTCTGTCCACAATGTGCACTCAACTCTAACACTCAAGATGCTTGGCAGTTAGACTAGAAAGGGCACAAAACCTTTTTTTTTTGTCTGTTTGGCAATTAACCATTCACTGGCTTTTTTTGTTGTAACATGCACTTCCTTTCTCTTGTTTTCATTCAAGCTGTGTACGCCATGGAAATTAATGTGGAGAAAGACAAACAAACAGGAGAGACCAAGATTCTCTCTACATCCACCATTGGCCCAGAGGGGGTCCATCAGAGAGGAGTCAAAGTCTATGATGACGGTACCAAAGTAGTGTATGAGGTGCACTCAGGAGGCACTGTAGTAGAAAATGGAGTGCACAGATTAAGCTCAAAGGATGTAGAAGAGCTTATTCAGAAGGCGGGACAATCAAGCTTCAGAGGAGGGCACGTGTCAGAAAGAACTGTGATTGCGGACGGGAGCCTCAGCCACCCTAAGGAACACATGCTCTGCAAAGAAGCCAAGTTAGAAATGGTACATAAGTCTAGGAAAGATCATTCTTCCGGGACCCCAGGGCAGCAGGCCCCAGCTCCCAGCACGGAAGGGCCAGAGGCAAACTTGGATCAGCCAGTCACCATGATTTTCATGGGCTACCAAAATATTGAGGATGAAGAGGAGACTAAGAAGGTGCTAGGCTATGATGAAACCATCAAGGCTGAATTGGTCCTCATTGATGAAGACGATGAGAAGTCATTGAGGGAGAAGACCGTGACGGACGTGTCCACTATCGATGGGAATGCGGCAGAGCTTGTGTCCGGGAGGCCAATCTCAGACACCACAGAGCCCTCATCCCCAGAAGGGAAGGAAGAGAGCCTGGCCACAGAGCCAGCCCCAGGTACCCAAAAGAAAAAGCGCTGTCAATGCTGTGTTGTCATGTGACCACTTCTTTCTTCCCTTTTCTTCTGGGCAGCCTCTGTGCTCTCCACCACTTACGTAGACCTCACTGTACCACTAACTGCAATACTGTGAACTGGAAGCAAACACCTGCCTTGCCTTGCAGTTGGATTGCTTTGATCTTTCTTATTTTTCCCCTCTCATTTTTCTCCAGTTTCCTCACCTGAGAGACAGCGTGCATGTGTTTGCTTCATTCTTTCCAAGAACTTGCTTTTCCTCTAAACCTTTCCTTGTGTCTTCGAGAGTGAATCGATTTCTTACTGCTCGATTGGAATGGACTCTTCACATCAGCCAGTTATCTAGTAGCCTTAATTCACTTGACTGGAATTGAACCCAGTGGTACCGGGGGTTTCATTTTGTAGCGTGTTCCTATAATGTAGTCACACGTCACCACGTCGCTGACTTCTCCCTTGCCTCCCTTGCTGTGGATCTTTGCTTTTATATCTCGTGTGGCAAAATGCTGTTGGCTCTAGCTGGTAGCTAGTGTGGCCAAAAGTGGACCTTACTTAGTCTGTTCAATCTAGGGTGATGCTTTTTGCTGCCTTACATAAGCTTCCAGATTACAGTATTGTGCATCTATGGCTTTCCTTCTGTTAAAACTGAAATGAAGTTGATGGAAAAGAAAAGAACCCAGTGCTTTGTCACGGCTGAAATGTAGGGACTGATTCCGTAACCTGCCCATCGGCAGCTGCCTCTTTCTGCGGCTTAACTGATGGACCCTTTATATATGAAGCACCATTTTTAATTTTCTAAGGACATGAAACAGACATTGTTTTGAGCATTAGTCGTGATCTCTAAACTTAGGCATATCCATGAGCCTTGCTTCTATTGTCTCAAAAAAAAAGTCAATTTTTATATTGTTTTCTTTTTCACGGATATTTTCTGATCATGTTAATGTATTTTCGACGAAGGGATCATTTTGAGGAGTATCTCTGCAGTGACCCTATTTCTAAACCAGTCTTTCTGACCTACAGTGGTCGCTGCCATGTTTCCACTTCATTGTGGACGGACGGTGCTGGAACTGAATTTACCTGTTCATCTCACCCGCCCGCTTGATTACAGAGCCTTACTTCTGGACTCTTTTCTTTCTGTCCCCATGAGAAAGAGAATGTTTCCCGTGACGTCACCGTGGAGGTCTAGCCAGCCCTCAAAACAAACTTGAGAATGTAAAAAAATGTTTAACAAAGACCTGTCTTCTCCACGTTAAGCACTTAAACTCATTCTGCAAGTACCAATTGAGTGGCACATAGCTGAGCTGCCTATTAAGGCATGTTTCTTAAACTTTTGGGGATTTCGGAACATCAAAGATGAGGGTTTTTTTTTGTTTGTTTCTTTTTTTCTAGAACACAATGAACAGTTCTTTAAATAAATTCTTAGCATTCTCCCAAAGCAAACAACCACATGGGTTAGTAAAACCAAAGGGAAGCAATTTAGTAAAATAATAATACAGTAATAAAACAAAGATGTAAAATTTTAAATGATTTTAATAACAGAGATATCGCAACTTGAAGATATTTGCCCAAGTGTTCATGGCATTGTTGTGAATCGTTCACAAAATTTATCTGTGTTCCATAGAACATAGTTTTTAAAAACATACAGTAAGTCATACGACATCAAGGCTAACTTCTGTGGAAAGTCAATGAGAAAAAAATAAGGTCGTCTTGAGAGAATTTCTTAATAGAACCAGCTAAATTTGTCCTAAATAGCTTTCTCAGTGCTAACTCTATTATTATTTTAAATTTCTGGGCTTAACATTCTATTTATTCCAATGGACAGGGGAAAAAAATGACACTTTAGTTAAAAGTTAATTTTTATCAAATAGTTATATTTTAATTAGCACAAAGTGAGTCACTTTATCACCACTATGTAAACAAGCAAAAAAAAGAGTTCAAGAAGGGACGACTGAAGGAGCTAAATTCTGCTTTCTAAGATGATTCCATCAATGGCTTGCTTTGGAATAGTTGAGGGGGTTCCCTCTAAATAATCTCAGGTTCACTGAAGCAGCTGCAGTGGTATAAAGCTGCTGTCTTACCTAGGAATACATCTGGTTTTACTGCCTAGAAATCTCCCCACTCAGCTTCACGCTCCTCAGTCAGTGGTCACGTACACGTTATTTAGATGTTAAAGAACATGACCTGCCAGATAAACCTATTGACATAGAAAAAGAAAACAGTCTGAATGTTTGGACAATCTATTATTTTAATAATTTATTTAATAAAGAAACAACCTAAAAGTTGACCATAGCTTATCTTTTTTTACTCACTTAGGGATTAAAACTATTCTATAGAAGTTTTTAAAAGCACAGTTAGTGAGTACAATGGTAGAATTTAGAACCCGTGAGCTTGCTGTTTGAGAAACAGTCCTTCTTCGAGGACAGAGAATTCCCAGAAATGACCTACCCGTCCTTCCATAGTGAGCTAGTTCCTGGTGAAGAAAATGATCTGCCCCTCTCACCACAACCCTACACATGAGATCTAAAAGACCAATGATAATCTGCACTTTCATTCATCAATTATTATTATAGGGATTAGCAAATTATATGAATTAGAGGTCTGTCTATACTTTTACTATTAAAGCCTATCATTTAATCGTTTAAAGTAAGACATGTCACCTTTATTAAAATGATATGTGGCCATAGTAAATGGTTTGTTTGAATATGGCATATGTTTGCATATTTTGTATCATTTTCCTATAAAAACGGAGGACTCAGGCTCAGCCAGTGCTTTTATGGGATGAGACCTATAATCTCACCTACAGTAACAAGTAACTACCCTTCATAATGAAAATATCCTCAGTGTTGTGATTGAGAACATTTTGTCTTCCTTGCTATCATTCTCTGTAAAAACTTTATTATGTATGGCATCACACCCTCCAAAAATATGTAAGTGTTGACTTACATAGCGAGACTAATTAGAGAATCCGTAATGAAGCTGCCAAACTATGATCTTTTTGAGCTAATGGTTAGTTGGATTTTCTTCTAAAATTTTATAATCGGTTCCCCTTGAAATGGAAAGAGGAGAAAGTGGGGAAGGAGGGGTATTTCATTTGTTATAAATAGATGTTCAATGCATTGAACTCAAGATCTTTTAATGGTTAAAATGGTAAAGTTTAACCTTACGTATCCTCAAAAATCTTGATGACTTATATATCCTTGACTCCGTTTTCTTTGATGTCCAATAGGACAAACTAAGGGGAATTTTTTTTTTTTACCTTGTACCTCTTTTACCCATAATTCTATTAATTCTTTCCGTAAACAAAATTAATTGCCTCTAACAGTGATTGGCCAGTGTCCAGTGATATAACTTGGTACTGGGAGGAGAAAGGGTGAGGGGATTCCTGTCTGGCCAAATCCAAAGCATGGTTTCCTTAAGCCTTCTGAGCAACCTAAAAATATTCAAAGCCTTTCAGGAAACTCAAACAAATTCTAGAGTTCATTTGATTTGACTCCTTTTTGAACTGTTACTACACAGGTATCTGCTTTAAATTCCCACCGACTCCATTTTACTTCCTGGTGGTAAAGGTATTTTTCCTACATACAAGTAGAATGTCTTACTGTTAGGGTCAAGTTTTCATAAAAGGGGAAAACACAGAGATGCAATATCATCTCCGGAGCAAAATGTGGAGGCCAAGCATGAAAACAGTTTATTTCTCTTTGCTTCTTGCAGAATTTCATTTCAAGGGAGCATGCGACACCTTTGAAATGACCATTCATTTAATGCTGGTAACTAATGCTTAGCAAAAGAGGAGGAAGGGAATATGGTGACAGAGGCAAGATTGAACCACTAAACAAGTTCCTCCTTTTTAAAGGCATTAACCCTGTCAATTTAAAACACAGATAAACAGGGACAAAATTCTCACGGGGGACTTTCTGTTGTTCAGCCATCTCTCTTGTCACTGAGGTTTAACTCACCGAAGGGCCCATTCCTGGTGGGAATAGTCTCATCTCCCAAAATGTGATTTGTTTACAACAAAAACCATTCCAAGGCAAGCAGTTTTAAGTTCTATTTTTGCAACACGCACATCCAGTTATTCAAACCACAAGTAAGTTTTGAAACGCTGTGAATATGCAACCTTTTAGCAGCTCCTCAATGTACTATGTGTCAAGGCGTACGGAATTCCACTAATTAGGATAGAACCCGAGAGTTTCCTTTGTCCTATTGGATAGTACAACCCGGCAGGTAACACAGCTATGGTATCTATCACAAGCAGCTCCAGGAAATGAGCCAGATGAGATCTTTGATCCTTGCTGCCAACTTACTCATCGTATAGCCTTCTTCTGGTCTTACCAGGAAAACTTGCCTACATTCTCTAGGGAAAAAGAAGTCAGTCTCATTTGAGGAGCACAGTGTGGTTATGTGTCTGTCTTTCCATAGCTTCAGCAAACTCCATGATAAAATTCCCATTTTAACAAAACCCAAAATACTTATTATTTGAATGTAGAAAAAAAATTAAGACAAAGATTACACCCTGAAAGTTTCAAAGGGCAATTTCCCTGGGGATCCTTAGACCACCTTGCCCACCCCCCTTAATTTTTATAGGACTTAACTAGGCCTCTGCTTCTCCTCCCCACTCCATCAGAACCATAGCACAAACTCCTGCTTTCAACTGGAAAATAGAAGATGTGATTTGGGGGACCTTAAACGTTCTGCATCAAAGATCTGGACAGCCTTAACTTTTGTAAAAATAAAAAACAAAAAACAATTTTTCAGTGCTCTCTTTTACTAAGCAGGAAACCAAAATGTTTCCTGAAAACTAATGACTTTTTTATATTTTGTGACTGTTTTCTAAGTTTCTACAAGTTGGGGGGTGAGTGGTCATCTTCTCCCCATAATGCCTCTTCCTAGTCAACTGGGGCTCTTCTTCGCAAGTCACTGCATTTTTATCAAAAGAAACGCATATTTCATGAACCGTCAAATTCTCCCTAGACTTCAGGCAGTCCTTCTGGAGTAAAAGAACAGAAATACAGAAAGAAAAGAATTACAGGG